TTTTTGGACTCAACTGTAATTTTTCAGAAAATGATAACATCATGATTGATTTATGGGTGATGGTGGGACATTTCATATTGAATTTCTGTTGCTAAAAAAAAAACACTTTGAACACCGCCCCGCCCCGAACACATGACATGAGTATGGGGGGGGGGGTTATATCTGGCCTTTCTATCTCCCCTCTCTACAGGTTTCAAAATTTGAAAGGATCTTGAAAATTACAAAACCAGTAAAGAGGGGAGATATAGCAGCCAAATATACCCATAAATTGAGAGTTATGTTTGAGTTATTCTGAAAAATAACAACATTTCATGTTGTACAGGTATTCTTACATAAAAACATATTGTGTATACATGCCAGTTTTGCCATGTATTTTGGGGTGATTTTTTCGGTTTCCGACTGTAAGGCGAGAAAAAAAAAATTCAGTCTCTGTTTCTTGTTTCCACCTTTCTGCCAAAAAAGCCTGCATGTCTAGGACATTTTTTTAAGGTAAAAATACAATAGTTCCCCGGTACAACTGTCAGTTTCCAGGCCATAACCAATGAATGACAACAAATTGAGTATAACCCGCAGTGAAATTGTCTCAAATTTCAATCAATATCAGTCTTGTGTTAGACTTACAAAATACACTGAATGACACGAAGCTGTGGCTGTGGAAACATATGTAAAAATTGTAAGAGTTTATCATCAGCTTTCATTAAAACTCAAATATTTAAGTTATAGTGATTGGTTCAAGAGCTGAAAATTGTCTATGCGCATATTACACGTGCACACCTTTACATGACATAGTAACTGCAACCACACACACATTCAAAATGAGGCACTTGCTAATTGGATAATATTGAACTATCTCTTCAATATTAATCAGAACTAATGATGATGTCACAATACAGTTTGTGGATTGGTCAATTTGAATTCTAACATTTATAAGTTTATAATGACCACAGTCTTATGCCCTTCACTGTAGAGATGATACAATGGTTTATAAAGTTGAATTACAATTACAATGTGTGTGTTACTATTGCCATGAGCACTTGCTGCCATATTGAATTGTCAATAGAGTGCAGTGGGTTGTGGCAATATTGATGTGTTTATCAACACAAAACTGGTGCATGTGTGGCAAGACCAGAACCCTGCCTGGCATGGCCACCACCACCATAGGTGGCACATCGACAATCACCAAGCTAGGGATCAAAATTTTTGAAAAGTGTGGAACAAATCTTTCATGTTTACGTTGCAAAATATGACTAAAGTTGACTTTGTTCTTAAAAGGTTGATCAAAACTTTGATATTTGTATAGCCCTTGATCCAATATGGTGTCCATAGTGGGCCATATTTAATTTCTGTCATCGGCTGAACACTCAAACACCGCCACTGTTAGTAGCAGTAAAATTTGGTGGACACCGTATAAAATACATATCTGTAGAAGCAATAACCTAACATCCACAAACACCAGAATTTAACTAAATTGTGCCAAATTCGAAGTGTAAATGAGATTATTACAGTTATGATATACAATTTTCTGCAAGACCATTATTAGTTTGTGTTTGATCCAAAACAGTGCACGTCGATTCATTGCGCATTCTCCTCATATTGTTCTAGCAGGTTCAATAGTGGTGTAGGGTGGGCAGCCAATGACAGAATATATTGTCCACTCTGACAATGCGTTAAATTCAGTGCTATTTTTGGTATACATGAGATGAGATGCTTTCTATACATTCACCATGTACATTTAGTTGATAAGTTGTAATGAGAGTGAATATTTAGTGAGTTTTGTCCTTTGATTTTTTAATAGCATACTGCATATGTTATGTACAATGACGAATGGCCGAATGGGAAGACATCAACTAACAGAGGTCATACTAAAGGTGAGGTGGCATAATGTTGTATTGTTTTGATTATAACATTATTATTATATCTGCCATGTACATCTACCTTAAATAGATATCTGTTAACTTCTCTGTGAAAACCACCAAATCGATTGATGTGATATGTACGTGGTTGGACCTCTATCGGATTTGTTTATTTTGTGGCAAATGTTACTTAATTATTTTTGGTGAAAACAAAAATATTTTTTTTTCAAATTCTTTTTCAAAATCATTAACCCAATTACATACTTTGATACATTTGGTGGACCTCTGACAGATTTGTTCTCTATTTTTTTAGTGAATATTTATTTTTAATTAATTAATTTTTATTTATAATTTTTGGCCTTAATTTGAAATAGATATCAGCTCTTCTGATTCCTGTATATTTTTTTAAGGTGATCTTTGTCTTGATGATGAAAGTGGTTTTTGGTTGGTGCACAGTACCCCAGTGTTCCCAAATTTTTCCAACGAATCATACAGCTGGCCAGAAAATGCACATGCTTATGGACAGACTTTTTTGTGCATGACATTTGCATATGATCAGTTCAACTACATTGGTGAGAATTAATATTC